GGTTTAGTCAAGCGCGGTTTTGTGGCGGAACCCTCTAGGACTGACTGGTTTGATCACCTTGCAGGCCAAGGGACTCGCACAGTGGTGCGTTCCTATCAGTTTGGACCGGTTTGGCCGAACCGGTGGTGGTTTGGCAGCCTGGGTCGCTGAAACCAGCAGTAACCCAGGCCTGCCACACCCCCGAACCAGTTCTCCAGGCAGCGCCATAGGCGCCGCCATCTTGTTTTCTGCTTCTGTGCATGCACAGAGCGATTTTATTTGCACTGTGTATGGGTGGGGCACACTCACATGTGCGGGGCACATTCACATGTGCAGGGCATGCTCACGGGTGAACCGATAGTAGTGACTGCCGGAACCCACACATGGACTCGCAGGAGTTTTCTTCAGCACCATAATTCAAAGGCCTCAATTCTTTGGTGCTCAGCCTTTCTTATGGTCCAACTTTCACAGCCATACATTGCAACTGGGAAAATCATAGCCTTGACCATACACACTTTTGTTGGCAGGGTGATGTCTCTGCTTTTTAGTATGCTGGCTAGATTTGCCATAGCTTTCCTCCCCGGGAAGCAAGAGTCTTTTAATTTCTTGGCTGCAGTCCCCATATGCGGTGATTTTGGAGCCCAGGAAAATAAAATCTGCCACTACCTCCATTTCTCTCCCATCTATTTGCCAGGAACTGAGAGGGCCAGATGCCATGATCTTAGTTTTCTTAATGTTGAGTTTCAAGCCAATTTTTGCACTCTCCTCCTTTAACTGCATCAAGAGGCTTTTTAGTTCCTCTTTACTTTCTGTCATTAGAGTGGTATCATCTACATATAGCAGTTTTAGTATACAAGCTTGTAAAAAAACAAACACTCAACTTTAAATGAAAAAGTGAAGTCGGCTGGAGCAATCCTTTTTAGGTGGAAGGTTCTCGTCTTCTTCCCAAACCTATGCTGATAATTCGTCTCAATATCAGTTTTGGAAAAGTATAGGAAGACCAGATGAAATAGGTGCAATGGCATATGAGTTAAGCCTTATCTTTTACAACTTACATGCTCAAACATCAAGAACTGTGCATTCAATCTTCACAAAGAGAGATTTTGTTGCACCCTCCAATGCTATGGATCAGTGGTAGGCATCTGGCAGAACCCGTATCATGATGTCATGACACATCATGAATTGTATAATTTGTGTAGTCACATGATGAGGTTCGTGGCAATAGAAATCAAACAAAAAATACATAAGAATAATTGCCATTCCCTGCTCTTTTTGATGCTCATGCGTTCACTGTCTCATACATTGATGTACACATGTATATCCCTACACAATTCAGCATAAACAGCCCACAAAACTGGAATTTTAGAAGATTTGATGTCTCCAAAGTACTAGAATTTTGTCCCTTTTATATCTTCTGAGAAGGCTTGGACATAGTTTGTGCTTCTCATTCCTGTCGGCACTTTTAACTTGAGTGCCATCACTTCATCTTTTAACTTGAGAAGCATGTTTGGGGTACTGTTTTGTATGAATTATCCTTGGTTAAATCTTCTGGTATTTTTCCATATACCTAGGCTTCCCGAGAAAGCATAAATCACAATC